GTATGTTATGATTATGATTGCGATTTATGATCGGAAGCTCCATATGTTACTCTAAATATATCGTCTTTTACCACTACTTATTACTGAGAGAGGCCAAGAGACCCCTAAAGGTCACCTCATTGAGACTTAGTCACAGCATGCCTACTTGATTCGTGGCTTGAACTGTTTCAGACCAGAGATCTCCCACTGGGCAATTGTCGCAACGCCGCTCATTTTTCCACAGATTACTCCGAATTTGCTGGAATAAAGCATCGAATCCATTCGTTTCTGAGTCAACTAGAACGTCCTTTTTCCATTCCCCTACCTCCAGCCGCTTTCCCCTCCCCCCTCCCCTTCCCCGTCTCCTTCCTTTCCTCCCGTATTTACTCAACAACTGTTGTTGTCTACATACGCTACACTATAAATAACTATAAATAAAGCGCCTCACTATCCCACTAATCGGCAAATCGGCATGAAGCCATTAGTGATAGCATTCCTCATATAGTTTGCATAGGTTTCGCGACATAATTCCCTGATTCCCCGCATTATCTCCCCCACATATATTTACCTTTCACCAAGAAGCCCTCAAGCATGCTTATATTGCTTTGATTGCTTGTCATTTGATCGTCCCACGTAGGGATTTCCTGACAGGAAATTCCCCATAAGAGTACGGAAGCTGGATGACGGACAAGGTGGGTGAGCAGCCTACATAACAGATGACATAAACATATAGTTATAGGTGCTATAGTTGTAGACAGCTGTTGATTTTGTGTCCTGATACACCGAAACGTAGTGAGGAAATGGATTATTACAATGTTGGGCATAGTATACTACATATCCTAACTGTATAGATAGGTATAATCTCTTTGGCGCTAGTCAATCTCTTTTTCGGCATGCGCCCTGCATTCGACTTCTATTCAGATTCGTATCAGCGATTTGAATGCGTATGTGACCTATATATACAGTTTATTATGGCCAGCCGATAGTGAAAGTCAGCATTTTTATCCTCTCAGAGGAGCCTGGTACTAATTAGCCCACCGTGGAAGGATAGAGGACTTGGTTGGCCTGGGAAGATCGGAGACTCGATCCCCGGACTACTCGTATGTGTGATAGTGCATTTGCCATTACCCTACCCACTCTAACAGAATTTTAAGAGTTACGTATTCTATTACCTGGGTATCTATACAGAGGATAAATCAAATTAATCCTCATAACTACAGGAAAATTAAACAAAAAATAAAATTTTTGGCGATCTACAATTTTCTTTAGAAGGTGTGTACACGAACTCGACACCCATTCACAATTCAAAGTCCACCTTGGAGGCCTACCTTAATTCAGTGGGCAATGTACTGATGTACAGCTCTGCATTTTTTATCCTTTCAGATAGATCTGGTACTGTTTACCTGTTGCCAGAGGTATGGATATCTTGCGTGACTTTGGCTGTCTGTTATGGAACCACAACTCGATCCCTGCACTGGAAGTGTTGCAGTACGCTATTTGGCAAAACCCTACCCACGCCCACTCAGAAACTACTATGCTAACTTGGATTTCTTTTTCGAAGTCTACACTTTGCTACGGTTTAATCAGTTGCAAACGGCGGCGCTCTTGAAAACTCGTTTAAAGTGAGCGGAATGAAAAGTTTTATTTACCAAAGGGTTCGGCTCACAATCAGTGAAAAATAAGACGAGTTGTGTACCCATGAATCGTTTTCGTGAAAACATGAGCGAGTTCAGTGCTGCATAAAATGTCGAACCTTCAGAATCCTGTCGTACTAAAAGCCGAGATTTTTTAGGAATCCGTCAAAAAAGGTACTGTACGCAAAATTGCACAAAGCTACCGAACCCCAATTTTGAGAGCCAAGTTCCCATGTTATCATGCCCTTCTCTGACATTGCTGCAGATCACTGCCTTACAGTCAGTATAATATGCGCTGTATCTACGCCTTAAAGAAGTGGATAGTGGACCTTGTTGTCATATTAACATGGCTTTCGAGCGAACAATCAGTTCTACAGCCGTTTGAGATATGCTGTGCATTTGATTTCGATCAAAAACTTGGAGAGTTCCAATCTCTTACGCCACACTAAAGCTCATGAGCTCATCAACTACCCACTTCGGTCTCATTTGCTTCGATATGACGTTTTTTGTGTCCTGCGTCTTGTAGTTCTTGTGCCCATAGAGTACAGGTACGTATTCAAGTTCAGCCCGATTCTGAGCGTTCTGTTCACATTGGAAATGCTCCCATTACCGTTTTGCTCAAGAAAGGATATAACAATGGCGATAGATGCATGCAAGTGAATAGTAGATGACTGGGGCGCAAGCATGGTGTCGAAGCGAGTAGAAGAAAGGGAAGGCGGAGGATTGTTGGAATTGTACCCATTCCAGGTAGGGAGGCAGGTAGGACTCAATTACCTACCAAGGGCCTCGCCATAGATTTCATCTTGTTTGAGTGAAGGGGAGATAGCTGAATTGGGCAATGGATGATGCTACTTAGCGTGCCATAATATCTAACGACAAGAACTTATCCCAACAACCACCTCTACGTTGTCTTTGCACAGCCCCAAAAACCTCAACTGTAGAAAATAGTCCCCATATCAGCTGAAATTCGAACATTTATTCCCATTCCTCTTCATTGCAAAATCAGCAGCACGGAAGCGCCATTCCTGCAGGACAATAGTAAGGGGAAACAGCAGAAATGTCCAAAGGAACGACATTCTTATTGATAATCACGAAGNTTAAACTACCTACCGAGAAATTGGGTCCTTATCCTGAACTTTTCTTGAATTTTGGCTCACGGGTTTACGGGACTACGCTGTATCGCGACTGGAAACATCACTACTTCGCTTCTCTTCCCTCCCTTACTCTTCCGAAAAAGGAATCGTCGGTCAACTGATCAACCTGAACAGTAAAACGAAGAGGCAAAGTGAAATCTTCTCAAAAAAATAGTCTTTTAGAAGATTTATTAAAAATTTTAAATACAAATATACATTCCTAGACGTATATTAATCTAGTAAATGTAAGGAATCATTATTTGTTTATCGTCTGATTTAATACAAGTAATAAAAAAATACAGGTAGTATTCCAAGTAGTAGTTATAAGAGGAGAACCAAAGTCAACGATAGTACCCGGTTACAACTCAACAACATCATTGGATTATACTAAACTGTGGGCGGTGACGAAAAGTAACGAGCGATAAAATCGATATCCATTTGGTCCTATATAAATGTGCTCCATGAATCGATCAATATACTCGAATACTAAAATTTTTTTGGGGAAAACCTGATTTAAATTTTCACATTTNTCGAAATGAGTAATACAACCGGTTCTCTAGTCGAATACTAGATATTAAGGATCTGATATAAAGAAAATCAGACACGTTCAAAAGAAATCTGAATGGATAAAAAATCCACAACCCTAGCCAGCCGTATCTGTGTTGGCTGAGATGAGACGCGTGCGGTTGCGACGCGGCATGCGCTGTCTGTGCAATCAATAGCTGCGATCTCGACCGCACACGTTTCAAATAACAAAAGCAAACAAGGCTATCTAGATAATATGGACTGAATAAAACTAGGAAGTTGGAATAATAATGCAGTCAAGCACTGTCTGCCTACAGTACATGACTAGTTACAGTAATGATGATGATGACGTCATCGGACACACCTGAGTGAGTGACGCAGATGAGATACGGTAATAGTAAGTGTTATGTACAATAGACGTTTTATATAGATACTCTGTCGAAAGATATAAACTTGAATAGAGGCGCTTAGAGAGAAAGGACAGTGACATAGGCAGAGAAGCAACTGTGCGTGTGCCTAGAACTGTGTGTAGCAGATATGGAATGCGAGCCAGCCGTAGAGAGCGAGCGACACGCACCGACGTATGTCAAGTGAAAGAGCCATTCAAGGGAGGTTAGAAAGCCGAAAAAAATGGTCGTGATGTGGATGAGTATAAACTGAATAGGCTGTCACGAGGTTTCCGTGATGGTGATGGTGTCAGCATACTGTATGACATGGCACCAGATGAAACAGCCGGCGACGTCGAACGTCGCATTGTTGATGTAATCGCACGTGGATTGCTTAAAGTATGAATGTAAACATTTAAACTACAAATTCACTTATTTTCGCCTTATTTATGAGGTTTGAGTCATGTTGGGAGTACTCTACAACAGGTACTTCAAAGCTGCCGCTTGCCTACCTCACAGCATCTTTGACTGGGAACAGGGTGTTTATACTACGCGTGGCGGCAAGTCGTGTCGCGGGTTTGGCTGGGAAAATCTGGAACAGTGTACAGCTTTGTGCCCCTTCCCCTACCTGTTCCAGAGCTAACATCATTATCATGATAAAAAGACGAGAGAGCTCCGATTCTGGCTCTCGTACGAGCCCCGCCCTTTAGGTGGTCCCGCCCTTTGGTCGATATTAACAAAAATGCTGCACTATTTCTCTCCTATTACATTAAAAAAATTTCAAGATCAGGACGTGCATTGAACCCGCTTTCCTTTCTCTTCAGAGAAAGTATGAATAAAGATTAACATGTCAATCTTTGGAGACTCGTCCAGAATCAAGCTTCGGGAGCTCGTCCAGGATTAAGGTCCGGGAACTCGTCCAGAATCAAACTCGGGAAACTCGTCCATTCCCAAAATTTTGTTGGACGATGTAAAAAGCGCAATGATTTTACATTTTACGAGTTTCTTACAGTTCCAGCAATGGCAGTACAACTTTGGTTACTAGTTCTGTATAAGAGTCGTCATATTATCAAAATCTGAATTACTAAGTGACTGCTATGATTGCCGCCTGCTTTACCTGGCTGAATATCCTCGCCGTTTCGTCGATGACAGTACCGGTACGGGTGGTCGAATCAACGAACTGCTTCCGTTACTACTTATTGACGTCTTCTGCTGTAGTTGTTCACGTTCTTGAGCTCGTTTCAAATCTTCCACGTAAATATCGGGAATCGGTAGGTCGCATTGATTCGTCATCACCATCGTTACCGAGGCGACACCTGAATAACTATGAAATTCAACAGAGGAGGATAAAACCAATAAAAATAAGGATCAATTAAGGATAACAATAAGGGGTAAGTTTCTGACACTACGCTACCTCCAACAGTGGAAAAGTATAAAGAAATATAGGCTAATGAAATTTCTAAAAATCATAAGAGAACCGGAATTTGAAGTTTACTAGTAAGAGCTTTAACTTTATCGCAAACATAATGAAGTAATCAACACGAACCTCGAAGTCGCCTTTCAAAATCGACCATCTGTTTCCAAAAGCCCACATTTGGCCGTATCACCGGCCGTGCTGATCGTACATAGTGATAGGCCTGTCGTAGGGTCATACGTTCATGTTTTACGAGGTAGATCATTACCAGAGATGCCGAACGAGAAACACCAGCCATGCAATGCACTAAAGTCTTCCCACCGCGATCCTGGAACAATGGCAGCGATTTTTTTTTTGTTTTCTTGTCTTTAATTGTTGTCTTAGGCCAAAAATGGCGAAATACAAGTTTTCGTGAGTGTCACCGCGCAAGTGCAGAATGACGGGGCAAACATTTTGTTCCAAACTATACCCGAACTGAACTTCCTATCCTGGGAAGCCGTACTCTTATCCATAAAAAGGCTTTGTTGCCCGAGGTAGGGCTATTCCGGGATCCGATCCTTGGGTCATCCTGGTGTTGATGAAACACTTGGCACTATTCATAGGGCACCTCTTGTACTAAATACATATTCAATACAGCATATCAAAACCCAGCCCAGTGGATAAAAGGATAGTGCTATGAATGCATAAGTCTGGATACGAGTTCAACCAAACTGAGTTCTCACCCATGCACCTTGTAATTCAATTTATTTAGTTCCGAATCGGCACAGCCACAGAAGCAACCAGGGAAGCATCAGTCAATAGATCAATACACAAAAAAATTACCTTGACAGCTTTGATTTTGTCTGCGACCTGATCAAAATAGTCCTGGATGCGGGCATACGGATGATCGTCTATTCGAACTTTCATGTATTCAACACCTAAAACTATACTGATACATGATCAGATTAAATGCAGAATAAATCAAATTCAAATTTGACTTTGAAAAGGGAGAAATAGCTTAGCGATAGGAAACACAGCTTATCACTACACGATGGGTAAAATCTTGCGGCTTCAATCAGTACAGTCTGAGGGATGCGGCCCCCGTCTTCGACACCCATTCAAAATGCAAGTGGCGTAATGAATGCGTATGTGGAGTATACAATGACTTGTGATGGCCAGCCGAAGTACAAGCCTCTGCTTTTATCCTCCCAGACTAGAGTGGTACCAATTAAGCGACCCCGAATGGGTGGAAGGTGGATTTCGATCTGGGATTTCAACTTCTGACTGTGCCTGTGCGATAGTGTGCCTCTTGCCGCAACACCACCTTTTACTATTACATGTGTACATATATGTATTTGTCGAAGCAGTGAGTAGGATACACCTTTGACTTATACTGGGTAGAAATAAGCGATGGATAGAAATCGCTAGCTTTAGGGTAGGGCGATATTCGGAAGCCACTTGAAGTCCAACACAAGCACTCAATTGCAATCGCGTCTTTGGATCAGGAAGAGGAGAGCGTCCCAAAAAACTGACACACACACAACACTGCCTCTTCCCCTCTATCCCAATGAACCTAAACGCTTTCGGAACTTCTAGGCATGCCGTTGAAGGACTGAGATGAGTAGAAGCACGTAAAACATCCATTAAACCTACGGTTATGGCAGATTTCCGAACCAAATAAGGAGGAGCCACTTTGATGAAAAAAAAAGAAAATTATGGATTTCCCGAACGTTCTT